ACAATATGAGGCACTGAATCGGAGGGTCTCAGCATGAGAAAGGTTGAGAACCACGCCTGTAAGCAGCTCTGAGAGCCCCCCCACGGAGGCTTGCTGTGGCTTCCGAAGAGATCCACCCAGTGGCACCCTTCCCAATCAGAAGATCCCTCCTGCTGCTGGAGGATCCCTTTCCCGTGGGCCTGAGGTTTGTTTGGGGTGGTGAGGCGTTCAGTATCTCCTTTGGGGGGAAGGTCTTGCGCTCAGCAGATCCTTGAAGGGATCAGATAAGGTAACAGGGAAGCAAGGGCGGAGAACCCAGCAGCAGTAGCAGCAAGCTGAGGGGAGGTCAGTCCTGGAGTTTGACGGTAGGAGGAGACCATTGATTGGGGTTCTGGGGCGTCATCTTCCCCCTTGGAACCACACGTGTTCCGATTGTCCGTGGGGCCAACACCACCTTCTAGTCCCACAGGGCACAGCACCAAACTCCCTGCTGTGGAGTCGGTGCCGATTCACAGCCACCCAGTGGCACAGGGCAGAACTGCCCCCGCAGGTTTCCTAGATTGTCATGCTTCACGGGAGTAGAGACTGTCTTTCTCCCGAGGAGCTGCTGGTGGTTTCAAACTGCTGACCTTGCAGTTAGCAGCCTACTGTGTAACCCCTGCACCACCAGGGCTCTTTCTCACAGTGGGTGGATTGTATGCTCACCTCAGGTTGCTTTTAGAAATACTATGGTTTATACCCCCAGGGGGCTCCTTTGGGCTTGGCCAGAGCCTCCCAAGCTAGCTTCTTTATCTCCTCACCTAGTGGGGGTCTCTGGGTAGAGACACCACAGCCAGGGATGCTTCTTCCCTGTAGAAATCCTCACAGTCAGCCGGAAAAGGCTTATTTGGAAAGCTCCCATGTGATAGTTGAGAACCCTCGGATGGGGATGGCTTGTTAACTGTCTAGCCCTAGTCCACGCTGTAGAAATCGTGAACTCGGAGGAGAGAACTTTAGGCTTTCTGCAGGGTGGTTTCCTTTGATGTTCAATTTTTGTGAACCTGGTAGTTCTCCCGCCTCTAAGCATTTCAGAGACCTCAGAGGGGATCAGGAAGGAGCAGCAGAAAAGTAGCAAGAAGAATGAAGTGCCTGCGCCTTGACATCACCGTGGGTCAGGACTTTACTGTGACAGAAAGACGCCAGTGTTCTTATAGTCTCATAAATTCCTTTGGGAATGCCCAAGTTCTAGGGCCCTCCTTTTTTAGAAGGAATGGTGCCGTTTTTTCAGAGCCTCGGTGACGTAGTGGTTACGTATTGGGCTGCTAACCCTGAGGTTGGCGGTTTGAAAACACCCTGTCCTGTAGGGTTGCCAGGAGTTGGGATTGACGATGTGGTTGTGAGTTTGGTTTTGGTCAGGGTCCCCTTAAGAATACCATCCATGGTTAGTCAACCCACGAAAAGACGTAAGCCGCCGGAAGAGAGAATTTTGCGTAAACTACCGAAGTTTGGGTTCTGGGGTTAGTGGAGTTTTGCAGCTCGGGGTTGGGGGTAGGGGAGACGATGAAGCTAGTATTTTGGTCTGTTTGCTGGGACTCTGGTTTCTTTTGCTGTTGAACTTGGGGGCTCCTAACATTGTGGAAGAGTGAACTGTGTATTTGGGTAGAGGGGTGCACCGACATGCATTGCAGGTCAATAGCATCCTTTGCTGTGAGCTGCTAGACACCCCCCCTGTGGTGACCATCGAGAACATCTCTTGGATGGCCCCATGCTGCCTTGAAGTGAGGCCAGGGACACTGTTCACACGTCAGCCTCACCTTCACGAGCTGCCTACTGGTCTGGGCTTGCTCTGAGTTCCTGACAGCTCTCTTGCGAAATGCTTCCCAAACCACTCGACACATGCACCCACTCACATTCAGACACACTGGTGTTTGTAGCGTGTTCACAGTGTTATGCGAAACCTTGCACATTCCATCCACTGTGCCAGAGAGGGCGGGGTACTTGGTAAAGCAGAGTGCCCCAGCAATACGGGAAGCCCTCCAAGAGCCGGCTTGATCCCACAGCCCCACTACTGATTGAGGCATGCCGAGATGGTGCTGCCTTTTGATCTGGTGTAAGTCGAGCCGGGTCTACACCCACCATCCGTCCACCGACCATTCCCAGCTCCGGCCTACCCCATCCCAACCCCTTACCCACTGTGGATGACACACCTGCCTGGACCGGAAGCTGCTGCCCCGTGGGGTCAGACATGTGATCCTTAGTTCATTTACTACTTTCAGGTTCACCACCCACCTGTAGCCTTGACCTTGGCCTTTACGCCCCTCACTGACTGTCATCCAGAGTAGAACTGCCCCACCTCTACCCCCAGTGGGTTCTGAGGCAGTACATCTTGACTGGGGCAAAAAGCCTCATCTTTCTCCCCCAGAGCAGCTCATGGGCTCCAACTGCTGACCTTGTGACCCACTGCATCAACTGATGCAATACATCACCAGGGCTCCTTTGAAGAACACACACACACATGACCTGGGGCCCATATCACCTGTTACATCTGTCCCTTCCCCGCGACCGTTTCCGAGCTTTGGGATCAGCCAGGAGCTGAACGCAGACCAGGGAAAATCCCAATCCCGTACAGCAGGAGGGTCGGTAGGGCAAGGACCTTGTTTCGCAATAAAGCACCTTGGCAAAGAACAGGTAGTCACTACATGGCACGCTCCCGAGGCCTCCGTGAGCCCATGTCGACTTGGTTCAGACAGCCCCGGCTGTGTGATCCATGCGGCTGACGGTGCCCCCTGCTCTCCCCCGGCCCCAGGAGAGCGAGGAGGAGCTGTACTCCTCCTGCCGGCAGCTGCGGAGGCGGCAAGAGGAGCTCAACAACCAGCTCTTCCTGTACGACACCCAGCAGAACCTGCGGAACGCGCCCCGGGATGCGCTGGTGAAGGAATTCAACACCAACGAGAACCAGCTGCAGCTGTACCAGGAGACGTGCAACCGGAGGTGGGTCTGCGCCCTACCCCCCTGCTCCCTTTGGGCTGCGATCGCAAGGTCGGCAGTTCAAAACCACCAGCTGCTCCGTGGGAAGAAGGGAGTGGGGACTTTCTACTCCTAGAAAGAGTGACTGTTTCTGGAAAACCCACGGTGGGGAGGGGGTCTTGGGGGGGCACTCTGAGTCTGCGTGGACGGCATCGACTCGATGGCAGTCAGTGAGTTTTCTCTCAACCTGTGGTCGTGAAATGTCCACAAGGAGCCCAAGGTGGGTGCTTCAAACCCACCAGCCGCTCCTGGGGAGGAAGGCAAGGTGTCTGTAAACACGTCCGGCTTAGGAAACCCCCTGGGGCACTTCTGCTCTGGCCAGGAGGATTGTTAGGAATCGGGATTCACTCCATGGCCTTGGGTTTGAATTACCACCTGCACCACCTCTAGGAGAACCCCTCACCCCAATAAAATGAAGACTATCAGTCGATGCTGACCCTGTGGGACAGGGTAAAACTGGCCCATGGGCTTCCAAGACTAGCTGTTTATGGGAGTAGAAAGCCTCATTTTTCTCCTGCAGAGCTGCTGCTGGTTTTGAACTGCTGACCCTATGGTTAGCAGCCCAATGCATAACCACTACACCACCATGGCACCTCCTTGCTGTGGTGACAGCTTTCACTAGGAGGTGGCATTGACTCCAAGGCACTGAGATACCGGTCTCGCCTCTTCATACCACCCTGCTGCTGTGGGGTCCGGAGGAGCCCGGCTGGTGGAGTGGGTTGTGCACTGGGCTGCCAGGACAGCAATCAGACCCACCAGCTGCTGTCTGACAGCCTTGGAAACCCGCAGGGGCAGTTTTACCCTGTCCTGGAGGGCTGCAGCGAGCTTGGTTTTAGGTTCAGGGTTGAGTTCCCAAGAATTGCAAAGGGGCCTCTGGAGGTGGCAGCTGGGGCCGCCCAGGGTCCTGCAGAAAATATTTGATCCCAGGAAACTCCCGGTTGCCTTCTCCAATGACAAACAGCTGCCAAATTCCTGGCTGGCACCGTTTCTCCACCTTTACTGGTTTAGCTCTGCACTCCACCCCCCTTCCTGCTTCCCGGCGCCTCAGAAGACAGGGCCGGCCATCCACATCCCCGAGAACTCTGGGGAGCAGTTCTACTCTGTGCAGCCGCGGTCGCCCATGGGTCGCAATTGGCGTCATGGCAACTGGTTTCAACTCTTCTGTCTTGCAGAGGCTGTAAATCTTTACAGGGGCAGACAGCCTCTGCTTTCTCCTAAGGAGCTGATAGGAAGTTCGAGCCACTGACCTCACAGTCAGCTGCCCAGAGAGCCTCCAGGGCTCCCTCACAGGGCAGCTGGTACCCTCTCCTCCCCAGTGAGATTACGTAGCTGGCTGCAGCCCACCACCCTGACTTGGCATGGCGGTAACGGTGCCACGGCACGTCTCTTTCCAGGCTTCGTGAGAAGAGGGTCAGCAACAGCAAGTTCTACTCCTAGAGGCCTGGCCGCCCCGCGCGGCTCGGACTGTTCACAGACGCTGGCCTGGGACATCATCCTGCCACGGAGAGGCCATGGCCAGAGGCAACCCAGCTGGCACCTGCTCCTGTGCGCGTCTCAGACAACTTTCCTAACTTATATGTTCCATGGATGCCCTAAGAGAGAGGTCCCCCCAAATGCTCTGAATAAAAGCCCTGGAAGCCTCCCGAGGTTGGCTTTTCTGTGCCCAAGCTCGGTGCTGAGCGAGGCTCTGCCTCTGAGCCCCCTTGCTCCTTCACTTGCCTTCCCAGGACAGGAGCCCCCAGGGCCTGAAAAAGATTGACTAAGTAAATGATTCCACCTGGAAGGCCATTGATTGGTTCCTTGTGGGCCCCGAGAAAAGCCTGGCCCACTCAGCATCCTTACAGCTTGGAGCTGTAGTGGGGGTGGGGGTGTGTGTGGCTGGGGTGGAGGCCTGATGGATCCAGCCATTGGTCATTAAGAATCTCTCAGCCCCTCTGCTTACCTGTCCATAGATGCACGCTTCCTGACAAGGGGGAGACTCTCTGCTCATTCCTCATCCCTGGCCCTGGTCCCCCTCATCACCCCAGATGCGGGGACCCTGGATTGGTGGAGTTGGCCACCCTCCACCACGAGGAGGCCAATGGGGATAAAGAGACCGAGAAGACCAGGGTACCCAGGGACCGTGGTTGCTGGCAGGCCCAGCTTTCACGGGCTGGGGGTGGGGTGGGGGTGTAAGCTTGGGGAAGTGGCAGACCTCAAAGGCTCTCTCTATCTTGCTCATTTAATGAAAACAAAGTTTCATGAAAACGCTCTGCATTAGGCTGCTAACCACAAGGTCGGCAGTTCGAAACTGCCAGCCAACTCCGTGGGAGAAAGATGGGAGTTTGGTGTAGACACAGCAGTTCCACCCTGTGGTCGTGACCCCTTTGGGGGTCGAGCAACCCTTTCACAGGGGTTGCCTGATTCATAGCAGTAGCAAAATGACAGCTACGAAGGTGCAATGAAAATAATTTTATGGAAAAAAATAATTTTATGGTTGGGGGTGGGGGGTCACCGCAACATGAGGAACTGTATTAAAGGGTCGAGGCATGAGGAAGGTTGAGAACCACTGGTTCAGAGGCAGGGATAGTGCTGGGGGTTTTTTCTCCTAGAAGGGGCTGTAGCAGAAAAGCCCCTCCCCTTAAATATCCAAGTTGCTGAACCTCCACATCTGGGTGTAGACGAGGTAAGGACAAGCCACTTCTTGGCTGAATAACAGACCAGCCTCCCCCCTGACTCTGGGTCTCAGCCGGGCTGCACACATCGGTATATATATATATATATCTATCTATCTATCTATCTATCTGTCTGTCTGTCTGTCTGTCTGTCTGTCTGTCTGTCTGTCTGTCTGTCTGTCTATCTATCTATCATCTGCCAGGGATTGCTCATGGCCCAGCAGCTAAAGGGCTGGCTGGATTGCTAAGAGAGGTCAGCAGTTCACCCCACAACCATCTTTCCTCCCCAGGAAATGTGCAGTCTTGGCACCCCTGCACTATGTCCTCTACAGGGTCACCTTGAGTCAGAGTCCCCTCGGGGGCAATGAGTGTGTGGGCACAGCATCCGAGGAGGAGACCGTTTTACTGGTATGTGCGGGACTAAGGAACAACTGTCAGCTGGTGTCAATTCTGACTGAGAGACCCTGTGTGCAGCACAATGAAAGACGCCGGGTCTTGCCCCATCCTCCTGAGTGACCATGCCCATTGCTGTAGCCACTGTGTCCTACCATCTCGTCAAGGGCCTGCCTCTACGGAGCATGAGGGCCTTCTCCAGGGACTGGGCCCTCCTGACAAGTCCAAAGTACGTGAGACAAAGTCTCACCATCCTTGCCTTCTAAGGAGCACGCTGGCTCTACTTCCTGTTGTGTTCAAGGAACAAT